ATCAAGTAATTGCTTGTGTTAAGAGTGCCAGACATGCTCTGCCACATGTAAACTCATGCAAAAAGAGGAAGTATGCCCAAACCATTAGGCCTTCCTTATCATTGAGCCTTACTACCGGTCTCCCAACTCTTCTGTCCCAAAGTATTTGAGGTCACCTCATGCCTTACTGTACAGCATTCAAGCAGACTGCTCCACCCATTCATTACACGCTGTGGAGTCAGGGTTGAAATGGAGGATGCTAATTCATGTGCTGGCTATGCAGATACAGAGCTCCATGAAGCACCAAAACAACTGTACTAGTTAAATGTGTTCTATCATAAATCTAAGGCTTTAGACCAGTAATACTTCATCCAAAACATTAGCACTCTCACAATAGATATCTCTGAAAATGAATGATATTAGATCTTTTGTAATACTGTGAAATACACATTTCCTTCTCCTAAAGCTATTACCCAATACTTTTCTTTGGGGAAACTATTTGGAGATGTTATTAAAAAATAAAAGGCAGTGGGGAAGTACACTTTCTACACATCAGTGTGGCAAGCCAATGAAACCATGGAGTCACAAACCACAATTTAACTGCTAATAAAAGTTATGAAGTTTGCATATAAGCTTTAATCCTGCCTCTAGAGTACGGCATGGTTCAAACTTCCAGTGGACCCAGAAGACATCAGACAGAGGGTCTATTCTCTAAAAGGAGAATAATTTGCTTCTTTGTAAACACTGGATGGATGGGAAAGTAAGGAGAAGACAGACAAAAAATAGGGCACCTCTATCTTCCCTTAAACTTATAGCAGTCATTTACTTACAGATAACTGGAGTATCATCAGTGACACAGATCTCTAACTGTGACCTGGATAATCACGAAGACAGCTGTCTGCCAGTCCTCCTTACCCACTAACTTCTCTTCACAGCTGGGCTAAGACTTCTCAGGATCATCTCACTAAACAGCATAAGGCATCTGTGGAAACGGGGACAGAACATAGGGGAGTGACAAGGAGCATGGCAGTTTTTGGTGGAAAACTATAGACATAAACACTCACAGTAAAAACACCATCCACAGTTTGGCAAAAAAAGATACATGTATTTGGCGTAGGATGGGTTGTGCTGTTTGTTATTTCCATTTCACAGTAGTCATTGAGTACATGGAGGCAGTTGCAGGGCTCTTCTTCTTGCTTCAGACCCAGGATATGATGCCCCAAACAAGCTTCAAGACCACTGCCTGGGTGGCTTGCTGATGTACACCACACTCCAGTCATTCTCTAATCCCTGTGTTGAAGACTGGAAATGTCCATGCCAAACACAGTTTTGTCAACTTCTAACCCAATCTAGAGGTTTCCTCAGATTACAAAGACCACAAGGGTTTATTTTCTTGTTATCCAAGTATTGCCAAACCAATCAAGAAGGACAAGAAGGACACAGAGGGATTTCAAACTTTTCTCATCAATATGTTCTCTTTCAAACCCAGAGTATTTCCCTTATAATAACAGAATTCTGAAGAAAACATCATCCAGTATTCAATGACATTATTAAATCAGCTAGGCTTTTTTGTGGGGGGGAAGCGTTTGGGGTGTCAATTAGCACCTGGGAGTACGGTTATTTGATTCCAGTGAAGAAAAAAATTATTTTCTGAAAGTCTGTCCTCACTGCTTGTTTTTCTTTCTTTCCTATCCTTCTTATTATTAATGTAAATTCAGGCCTAGCTTATTATTTGTAGAGGGGTACCAGTCAGACACTACAGTCAAAAAAAACCAAGGTCCCTTTGCAATAGGCACTGTCACAAATATAAGCAGCTGATTTCTCTGACAATTAACTTAGAAGCTTTAAGTATGAAACATTCTAGACAAGATGAACAGAGTGAGCAAAAGGTGACCATATGGTTAATGTAACAAGCAATGGTCACAACTCAATTTTGTTCTGCATGGAAGGAACATATTCAGGAATGTTAATTAATACCTTAAGGTCTTTGCCACTACTATCTTTCTAATTCATAATCAAAGTTAAATTTCCAAAGACACTATACTCTAAACAGGCACTTTCCAAACTCTATGCCTCTGCATTAGATCACCCTGCAGCAAGTAATTCTCAAAATAAAGCACTTTGGAAATATGTTCTTTAACAGCTGCCTGCTAGCAGACACCATAAGGAAACTAAAAGTGATTTGATTTAGAGAAGAAAACGTCTGCCTCCTTTTCTGAGGGAGACATTTTAATTTGGTTGGTGTTGGTACCTGGTAATTTGAGAAATCAAACAAACTACTTGAAATGTCCTAATCATTTAAAAATTACTTTGAAGAAAGTTGCTTGCAGTAACTTTGTATAACAGGGATCAATCCTGCTTTTCAAAAAGAAAAAAAAAATTAAACCCAAAATACCTTCCATGACAAGTTACTATGCCCACTCAAATATTAGGGCTTACTAAGTATCATACAAAGTTAAGTGCCACTAAATTAAAGCCTTTTCATTTCTCTTATGGCCTTTTTGTTCTCATATTTCTTCTCAGCTACTGATTTTGAGGCATTCACACCTCCTTTGTCAGCTTGAATCTCCTGTTCTTGTTTTTCCTGCTCTGAAGAACAGCTCTCAGACAGAATGCCACAAGACAGCAAACTTACCCCAACTCCTTCTTCTAATCTACCACAGTTATTTTCAGCTTTCATCAAACTGTCTTCTATTTTACTTCTGCTACCTCCGAAGTGTTTAGAGCAAGAATTATGGCTTTACTAATATCTAGGAAGTAGTATGCAAAATTTTGGAATGGTTAACCAGTGAATAACAATACAGCTAAACCCAACCATCAGTTGAATTGCCAAAGAAAAGATTATTTTGCTGCTTGTTGTGGACTTTTATTTCCTCCCATTTGATTAGAAATACTTAATTAGTGCTAATTAAGTACTTTGAAGCTTGGGTGAAAGTTTTTTATAGAAGTGCATATTTCTGCTAATACTTCAACAAAAGGAAAATACCACAACAAAAACATCAGACAGCACACTTACAAGTAACCTAAAAAAGAAAAAAAAAACCAACTTATTTTTTACACTAATTGAGGACATGGGTACAGCTGAAGACAGAAGCAGTTCATACTTGGCAGCAGACATATCCTTAAGCAGCTCTGCCTCTGCTCTGAATCTGCTGTTGCTTTAGAGCCTGAACTTTAAACATGTCTAATGCTATGTAAGTGAAAAGCAGCTCTACAGGTATCGCATGTTTACCTTGGTGTTATTATTGTCACCTTTAACATACCTCTGTGCTGGGGTCCAGCTAGACTATCCTAACTCCAGCACTGTATTGAAGAAAAAAAGAGGAGCTAAAATGGGTTTCTATCCTACTTCAGTTCCTTTCAATTATTAGATTAGCCCTTTAATGGGTAATGAGGTAAATGCCTGAAACTAAAACAGTAAATACAAGGCCATAAACTAAAGCAACCCTGAGGCAACTGTAAATAGCTGTGATCTCTGAAAAGGAACTGCAGTTATCTTAGCTGCCTACAAATTAGCACAAAGGGGAAAGAATTTGCCCTAATGATTTCTTAACTTCACCTGGTTGCTGAATATAAAATTCATTACCTAAGGCTTCAGCTTTCTGCTCGAGCCAGTCTTAAGGCTAAATTTTACAGCCATTGTGGACCAAAGCTGAGCTTTCTTATTAAGTGGCCTCCACTGTAGATTTCATCAAATGATGAGTAGGTTATCCAATTTGAGAGAAGTGATTTATACTAAACAGAGCTACTATATGCACTTTTAATGTTCACTTCTTTCTGAATTTCTCTTCCACCTCCTGAACTCTAGTCCAGCAATTTTAAGCGAACAAATCCTTAAAGACATCAATGAAAAGATATATTACTAAGCAATCTTTCTTTTGAAATAGGGATCAAGTGTTTGTGATGGAGATAAATTCATTTTCAAATCTAATACATATATATTAAGCATAGATTTGAAGAATTCTAAGCCTAAAAAAAAATTAGTCTACAAACTTCAGTCTGTGAATAATGATGCAAACCCCACAAAGCTAGTTAATCTTTTTATACTCTGTGCAGCTATGAGAATAGAAAGGAGGTCCATCACATACTTTACTAGATCCTATGTTACAGAGTCCTCAAGCGTACTACATTAGATAGAACTTTGGCACAATTTGAATTTTAATTCAATTTAAACAGAATTTTAATGCAAGTTGGGAAGTGAATGAGCAGTCTTATCTAAGCAGATTTGACTGCTACATGTAGACATGTGTCATACGCCTCCTACTACGTGAAGAATGGGAATTCTCCACAAGAACTCAAAGTTTTTCATAATAATCTGTGGTTTTTAAATACATTTTGACACTTTCCATCTCTGTAATATTTAGCATTCGTCTTTGTAATATTTATTGGTGATAAAAAATGAAATGTATTTCCTCTTTAGCTCATCTTTTCCCACAGTAACTACATTTTAGCATTGGTTTGATGAGACTAAAGATACTGATCTTCTTATTAATCCGTATCTTTCCTTACAAATAATCTTAATTAAATTTCCATTTCTTTCTAAGTTAACAACAGCTGTTCATACTCATCTTTAACATGAACAGGATATACTGACATACAACACAGAAAAACAGATTAATTCATACTACTACACAACTGTTTAACAAAACTGCAGCAAAATTACTGTTTTTTCATAAAAAGAGAAAAATTTATTTAATCTATTAGGAGGACATCCTATGGCTTGTTGGGAACTTCTATATTCTGTGTGTTTTACATCTGCTTTTTCTATGGATGGAGAATTTACTGTATTCTCCCTTCCCCTTGTTTAAACAACTCTGTATCTCACTCATAAAATAAGTAGCCATTTCTTTCAAGAAGGCTGTTGAAACACTACGATTACAAAGATACTCATCACCTCTTCTCCATTAAAAAAAAAAAAAAAAGTAATGTTAATGTTTGATTATGCAAGCTTAGTTTTGGAAAGTACAAGAGCAAGTAAACCTTAATATTAAAAAAAAAAAATGGGGAGAACCGCCCATTACTGCAGGGCAGATTTTATACTGCTGTGTCGGTATCCTGATCTTAAGTTCAGAAACTGCACTTGGAGTTGTGCTGTCTGCTCCAGAAGTACCAAACAGCACTATAATGTTTTCCCAAATTTGCTTTTTGGGAGCAATTTGGAAGGCAATTTTGTTATCTGATAAGATGTCCATCACTAAATTCTCCTAAACACACATACAGACACCCCTCCCAAGCAGACATACACACGCGCGCACACACAAACACACATTGATTTTACGAGTCTCCTTTTGTTTAAGCAAGTAGTCACAACATGGAAAATATTCTCCTATGTGTTCACTGATTATTCTTAAATTATTTGTCACCACTCTGCCACTCAAAGGAAATGGTTATTTCTTTCTTCTGAGAAGCTATGTTCAAAAGCAGCTAGATGATAATGGTGCTGTGATATAAATTCCAATAGAAAAAAACATCGTCCATCCGTGTAGCCGTCCATCCTGAGAAACTTCCACTGACAAATTCTTGCAATTTTCTGTCAGTCACGGGGTTCCCATCAATAAATAGAAGGTCAGTGCAACAATGAGGAGCAAGCAGAATGGAGAAGAGAAGGTCTGATAGGCAGCTGATGGCATGAAAATATCTTCATACTTGTAAATACTGACAACACGCTCTGATACAGGTGGTGAGTCTATATCATGACGAGTTATAGAACCTTTAGATGGTAAAGGCAGAAATAAATAACATAAGATGCATTGTTTCTGTAACTCTACCAAAGAAACAGGTAGAAAGACAAGTAATTTTCAAACCTACAGGACCATACAGTATTACACTCCAAGTGAGTAGGGTCATTTCTCCACTTTCCGAAATGAAACTTCTGAATAAAACAAATTAAATTCAAGTAAACAATAAACAGCCTTCAAAGGAATGCAGAACATCTAATTATGAATTATCCTTACCTAAATTTATCTTTGGGAAGTGGGAATAATAACTACATAGCCATGAAAACATGACAGGTGGGACTATTATTTATTCTGTCTTCCTTTTTATCTGTTTTAAGCCTCATGCTGCCAGAATTTTACTTAATTTTAAAAAAGGGAGTCTAGTAAGAATATTGTAACTGAAAGACATTTATCAATTTTGGCACCCCAGTTGTGTCAGAAGCATAGAAATTGACTTACCCTGAATTGCTGGACCCCAAGCAAACAGATAGTACCAACTCAAGTGCAGATCTACAATGGTTTCCTCTCGGGGAACGTACACAGGACGCTTGAATCGACAAGTTACGCGATTGTTTTCAAAAACCCCTTCTTCATCTCTAGCAGGATTTCTCTGGATTTCTTTAGCCCACTGACCGACATTATAGAAGTGCTGGATTCGGACTCTTCCGTTATCATCATGAACACAAGCCATGACATCATCTCCTCCCTGCACGGTAAAAACATATTGGTAGAAGGAAAACAAAAGTGTCAGAAATTTATTGATGTATTTATACAATTGTAATCATTAAAAACTAATCAGGACCTGGGGCTCTCATTTCCTTTTTCTAAGTTACGTACACAGAACTATTTGTTTCCTTGACAATGTGTCACTCAATCAGATTGAACAGCACAAAGTGGATAGTAGTATTTACATACCCTTACTATCTCTGAATTCTCTTTTAGATCTTTCGAAGAGTTATTTTACCTAACATTTAGAAGATATTTGTAAGACATGGTCTCACCCTGACATCACACAATCAATTAATCAGTGGAAGGCTGTTTTCTTTCATAATTTGTGAAGTCCTGGGATCCTGCTTCATAAAAGCTGGCAGTCCTGAATCCTTGATGTGTACAAAGTCCACTGCATCAAATCATGGACAGAAATCTAATATAATTTAGTAAAACAGAGGAGGTGAATCTACTAAATCTTGGCAAGTTATAGGATAAATTACAGTCTAATCTTCTCAAGGAACATGACTTTTTATATGTCTTAAAAGAAAACAAAAAATGTTCAGCAAATAGAACAGAGAACACCATAAGATACAATAAAAGAATAATCAATATGTGCTTCTTCACATACCATAAGCAGCCACCAAGCATTACAATTAAGCAAAGAAACAACAGAGAGAAGGAAGTGTGAGACAATTGTTTGCAGAGGTCATTTGCAGAAATATTAAAACAGTTGCTAGAGCAGTTACTCAAGGTCACTGACAAAGTGGTAGAGCACTGTATCACTCAGGGATTAGCATTAATTTTAGGAGTACAATTTCATAGAAGCCTTAGGATCAAGAACCATTAAAACACTGTGCAAGCTGGATGGATGGCATTAGAGTGAACACCACTGCCACAGGTAGCGGTGCTATACCGAATAGAAGCCCTACTTCTCCAATACTAATCTTTCTGATAAGCTGATGATAGACACGGTGCTTTCTAGCGTGATCATCTCTCAGTTCTTTGTCACAGGGAAAGGAGAGGAAGAGGGTGCAGTTCAGCTCTCTGGGAATATTGCCATGTGGATTTGTAAAAGATGTGCTAGAAGTGAGGGAAAAGCGGTCGACTAGGTAAAACACATGCTCAAACTGTTTCTGTACCTTGCTGCTGCTGCTTCAGGCAACCTTTCCAGCTTCTGTCTAGAGCCTACCCCTGCTTTCCATAACTTATTTTCCAAGTTTAGTCTTTATATATCTGAGCACAAATCCCTCATTCTTAAGTACAAACAGGCAAAAATAGAGCTGTTTTCACATATAGAAAAAAAATTAAAAGGAAAGAAAAAAAAAAGCATTCTGAACCTCAGTTAATAGAATGACATTATAAAATCCTACCTAGGCACAAAAGCCCATGCGTGGAAAAGCATAATGTTGTTTGAGACAAAGAAATAGGTCACAGGACTTAAAAAAAAAATCTACTGAAGACACAAAATAGTTTTTTTTCCTGAACTTCTGTAGCTATCCAGGCCACACTGTTTTGATTAGAGCCTCTAAGGTACAGCCTGCTTCTCACAGCCAAGTTCTTTTGACCCAGAGTCATTTCACCATTACAGCCTTCGTATCCCAGGACACCAAAGCATTCTGGAAGTTACGAAAAAGCATCAAGTCAGCAGGGGAACAAGAGAGGAAGACAAATGCTAGTTGTTTTAGTTCAGCTGATTAATGGGCATTAGAACACATACACGGCAAAACTGAAAGCAAACAAATACTTTATTCGTCTTACCAGAAGCTGCTCCGTGTGCCTAGGCTGAACTGCAATGGGTGCTTTCCAAGGGGCTGATGAGGTGCAGGCATATCAGAGTTACAAACTGGTAACATGATCTCTGATAGCTTGGGGCCAAATACTTAAAGGTGCTGAGCTGCTCTGAAAACCCTGTTGAGTACTTGCATTACCAGGCATCCCAACTCCTCCCCAAATCTGGCCGAAAAAACATTCCTCACAACATTAAACACAATTAGTTTCTTATGATGTGAACTGTTCTTTATGACACAAAAGACTGACAGCATTATTGTGTTATTTACAGTTTCATATTGAACCATATGGCAATGACTGAAAACCACCTGCCCTCACATGTTCTTTCTATTTCTCATTTGGAGTCTGATAAAAAAATTATTAAGCCAGTGCGAGTCTTGCCACTGACTTTTCTGGCTCATAGCTTAGGACTTCTAAAGTCTCTATTTTTTTCAGACTGCTGCTTACAACTGTACAAAAAACCAGTCCTATACCCTGACTTGTGATATAAGACATAGGCTCAGTGGTCTTTTATATACTCAGGAGTGTTTCTGCATACAAACAGATTTAGACTAGACATTAGGAAGACATTTTTCACTGTGAGGGTGGTGAGACACTGGAACAGGTTGCCCAGGGAAGCTGTGGATGCCCCATCCCTGGAGGTGTTCAAGGCCAGGCTGGATGAGGCTTTGAGCAACCTGGTCTGGTGGGAGGTGTCTTGCCCATGGCAGGGGGGTTGGGACTAGATGATCCTTAAGGTCCCTTCCAGCCCAAACCATTCTATGTTTCTATGATTATGAACTGCATTTTAATCCTAAACATTTTACCACAGATCACAGACAAAACATGTTTGCATTAGTCATCTATTGCTCAGGTTTTTTAAAGTCCATACAGTGTATGCTTGTGTTTTGCCGATAGAAACAGAATAAAAAGTGAAGCTTTTGAACAAAAAAGTACAGAAATACAGCATAAAATCAAATCCAATAAAATCCAGGAGAGATAGAGGAGGAAATCTTAACAAGTTTGCTTTCTAGAGCATGTATGTTTAAATTAGCAGGAGCAGTTTTGTCAGTCATTTGTGGCTTCCCTGGAACAATACACAGGTATTAAAAAATCAAAAATATTTCCAAAGTTTAATGGTGAAAGCTATATTTATATCACTGAAAGTGAGATGATTTACTGAAGAATAAAATTATTTGCTATTTAATTTCTGAGGTGTCTTTTGTGCAAGTAACACTGACACAAAGTGTGACAGGATGTTTCCAGGTGAATTGGCTTACCCCTGAAGGCTTTTTTAATAAAAAGGCAAAAAGTTAAAAACAAGTTAAGAACTGGGCCCCTCAGCTCAAGAGGGACAGGGAACTGCTGGAGAGATTCCAGCGCAGAGCCACAAAGATGATTAAGGGAATGGAGCATCTCCCTTATGAGGAAAGGCTGAGGGAGCTGGGTCTCTTTAGCCTGGAAAAGAGGAGACTGAGGGGTGACCTAATCAATGTTTATAAATACGTAAAGGGTGAGTGTCAGGAGGATGGAGCCAGGCTCTTCTCTGTGACATCCAGTGATAGGACAAGGGGCAATGAGTGCAAGTTGGAACATAGGAGGTTCCACTTGAATATGAGAAAAAACTTCTTCACGGTGAGGGTGACAGAGCACTGGAACAGGCTGCCCAGAGAGGTTGTGGAGTCTCCTTCTCTGGAGACATTCAAAGCCCGCCTGGATGCGTTCCTGTGTGATCTGATCTAGGTGTTCCTGCTCCGGCAGGGGGATTGGACTAGATGATCTTTTGAGGTCCCTTCCAATCTCTAACATTCTGTGATTCTGTGCTGAACAAAATTACTGTTGTAATTCTCAGAGAAGAAGGACGTGTTAGGAACGATGAGGCAGTTTTCTGTGAGGCAACAGACCTGGCTTCTACACCCAGACTGGCTACCAAACAGGTGCTTTGTCTTCAGGAAGTCAGTTTTTCCTTATATGTTCTGTTTCTGACAGATCAAATATAAACTATTTAAACCCTAGTATGTAAAATGTGCACATTTTCAACATGAACTATATGGGTCTTACCATTTTCTTGTCTGAGGAAAATCCCACTGCCACCCAGCCATCAGTATCGGCACTCAACTCAAATTCGACATCAGCTCCTATTCTACGGTAACTTAGAAAGTAGTCACAAGTCTCTGCATTGCATCCAGGTTTACCATACCTAAATGGAATTGGAAATATATGTAACCTTTCCTTGCAATTTCCTGCTATAAAACTTAACTATGTTTCTGCAAGAAAAAGCTAAAAGAATGCATGTTGGTGTAATGGCAGTAAAACATATTATATTATGCTATAGTGAAAGAATGTATAGTATTTAAACATTACAGCAAGCAATTAATTACACACAGTATTACTCTGTTGACCTTCCTAGTCCCGGTTTTGTAAGAGCTTCATGAAAATACAAGAAACATGAGATAACTGTAGGTCCATAATGATGATGTACAACCTTAAATAATTGGGTTTCCTCAAATAATATAGTCCATAATTGGAAAGTATGTTCTTAAATAATAAACATTTATTAAGATCAATATGGAACATTTACCAAAGTCTCCAATGCAATCAGTCAGCATTTGCAAACATAAAGGTGTCTGCACTCTTATCTCAGACTGACCTGAAGCATCCCTTGGTTTTTCCACAGTCATCCACTCTGATTTTTGCAAATGGATCCACAGGAGGA